AAACAGCAGATACCTCAGAACCACAAGCTCTCAAACTTGCGGATCGCTTTTCGTCCTTGGCCCGGGGGGGGCCCCGGCGAACTCCGGCCAATCCGGATGCTTTTTTGAGGGCATCTTGGAGTCGTCGAAGTGTGTGGGAGAAGCGAATAGCCAATGATGCGCATGATGCTGGGCTGTGTGGGGGGGCAGAGCCAGAGGCACAGGGAAGGAGCCGTCCTATGGTGTCTTCGAGATTGGGGGTTGCAGTCGGAAGGAGCCGCCAAGATGGACTTTTGCCAGCTCTCTCTTTTGCAGCGCATTGCAGCGACTTGCTGTGCATGTGGGTAGTTCTCCAAATTAGGGTCCCTTTTTAGGTCCCCAAACTAGTACGGCACCAGACTGGAGGCTGATGCCAACAGCGACCAGGAGAGCTCCCTGCTCTGCAGAGCTGATGTGCAGGTTTTCTCTCCTCCAGAATTTTTGTTGGAAGTTCTTCGCTGGAGTTCCGATTGATCCCTTCCATGCTTTGCAACCCGTCCACGCACGCTTGACTTGATCAGTCGGAGGGCTCGCGCTTGAATCGCATTGTGTCGATTTCCTCTCTGCCTCTCTGTAACTGTTTTTCTCCCGGCTTTTCTCGACGGCTTTGCTTCAGCCTGGGAAGGTTGCAGGATCGAAGGCAAAGCCCTCAGACCCACGCGGATCACGAACACGCCGCGACAGGAGCGAATGGGCGCGAGCCCTTCGCTTGCTCCGAACCTTGGAGCAACAAAGGCTGGAGAAGGCACCGCATTTTGGAATTCAGCTCAGGAGCGGAGCGTTGCATAGCCACTTCAGCAAGCGGACTTCCCACAAGACATGACAGTGTGTTCGATGGAGCTGAACTCTGACGGATCAATCCGGTAGACTGCCTCCTAGCTGGCCGATGCAGACGTGGCTGTCACTGGAACCGACTTCGAAGCTTATCCAGGCAGCGGGTTGCATGTTGCAGTCTTTTCTTTGCATTGGTTCGGAGGTTGTTCGGAACCCACCAAACACTAAGATCACTAAGACCAAGATCTCCGTCATTTGGTGCAAGAGTCGTTGATTGTTGATCAATGTTGCCCGCATCCTTCCGCCCATGACCACGGAGGGGTCTCTGCAGGCTTGCGCGTAATTCAGCAACCTGGCAAATTGACGCGATGTCTGCAGGTTTGTCTTCGAACCTACTGTACTTGCTCAGCCGGGGTCTTTCTGAAGCCTGAACTTTGGAGTTGGTGTTTGACACTGGAAGAAGGCCAGCATGAGTTTTAGAGCTGCAAAGCTCTGTTCAGTTGCATGAGTCATACACCCTTATGGGCAGGGTCGGCTGCAGCCCGATATCTGCGCACATCAAACGAGGTGGGGAGGGGTTCAGGCGGTTCAGGTTTGGTTGGGACATCTATTTCTTCCGGTGGTCTGAGGACTGAGGACCATGTGTCATTGATCTCTTCCCAGCCTCTCAACTCTGGATTCTGATCACCATTTCTTGCCGAAACCCGCTGCGGGGGCAAACCGCAAATATCCGCAAATAGTCGCTGTCGGAATCAGGTTGGCCACAAGTGCAGAAGCAAGCTCCGGATCCAGGTGTGCTGTAGTGTATCTGCTTGAGGTGTGCAAGGAGAATAGACAGTTGCAAGCAGGAGTCAGGTCTTTGCCGGGATGACTGGCATGTAGCAATGCGCACAAATGGAGCCTTGCTGTCCAAATTTCCGAATGCCGGCTCCCCTAATTGCGGAGGCCCGTTTCGTGCCTCTTTCAGGCCACTGGTCTGCGCCCGAGACCAGAACGAAGCTCCGAGGACGGACCGTGGTTCCTTTTCCGTGAGCTGCAGACGGAACCCCCCTGAAAACCAGGAGGGCTTTCTTCCACCTCGCAGCAGGCGCAGGGCGGCCGGCATTCCAAAGCTGGGTGCACGTGGTGCCCCGAGTGAAAGAGCGCAGGTCTGAGCGGCCAGCGATGGCGCCGTGCGCTGGTGCTCCTGGTACGCTGGGTTAAGGGAGCTTCAGGGTTGCAGGGCCTCTGTAGGATATGACTGAGGGGTGGCGAAAGCAATGGTGGGTCCGTCTGATATGCAAGCTTCGATGTGCGACCTTGGCTCAGAGCGTCTGTGTAGATGCGGCGTTTGCACTGAGCCGTGGATGATGAAATCACCCCACGTATCCTGTCAGCATTTCGCCGCCCTGGAACCACCACCTACGTTGAAACCCCGCGAACGTGAATCGTGGATTGGACGTGCAGTACAGCAGCAGCAGCTCGAGTCTTGCTCAACCGAGGGCTCAGAAGGACGGCCGCGCCCCGACAATGACGAAGAGACCAACCTAGTGGATGCAGTGAAGACGTCCAAGTCCAAGCCCCTCTCTGGCAAGCGGTTTAATCTTGTGGAGGGCTTCTGGTCTTGAGTTTAGAGATGGGGGCTTCCACCTGCTTTCCACCTGATATATCCAGGAGCACAATCATTGGAGCTCCGGGGGAAGTTGAAGCCACTGTGGTACCCTACGAGAAATGCAGATGGGACTTCTTCCTGCGTCTCGTCTTCAGCGTGGCAGCCGCTCCTCCCGGAGTTGGCCCGGTGAAGTTCTTGGAGTCATAGGAAGCATAGGAGATCCCAGGGATGTCGGAGATCCTCGCAGCCCTGGTATAGTGACGGGTGACGGCTGCAGCTTGTGTTTTGTGGTGTGTTGTCTTCTTTGTTTGCTTCACCACACCACGTGACGTTTGTTCGAGCCGAAGCCTCCCCCGCAAATGAGCAAAATCGAAATCGCTGCTCAGGAGCCACAAGCAGTCGATGCTTGGTGTTCCTTAAAGCTCGAGGGTGGGCAGGCTGCGGCATCTTATCTCTTGTGGTTCTTCAGGTTTGGAGCTTTTAGATGTTAGCTAGTGTCAGCCTGTTCAGGAAGACACGCTGGTGTGTGGCTTCACAGCCAAGGGATATACTGCAGGAAATCCGAGTCTGTCACTGTCCGTCTGTCTGTGTCTCTCTCTCTCTCTCTCTCTCTGCCTTGCTCGCTGGTGCGTTCTCGATGCGGACGGGCCCTCTTGTCTGCTTCTGTCCCAGGAATGCACAGGATGCCGTCCAGAACCTGCGCTTGGCCATAGGTGAGAAGTTCATGGGGGCATCGCGGCCTGGCGCGAAAAGCACACTGCTGCGAGTTTGTGGGGCAGCCGCCGCTCTTTAGAGATCCACGCCGGCCAACGGTGAACTGTGGGGGGATGTCCAGAATCCTCTTTTCCATCGCGTCAGCTACCAAATTGCCAGAGCCGGAGCCTCTTTCGCCTTGGAAAAGAGCTGTTGAAATCTTCACAACAAAAGGAGCCCCAGAAAAAAATGGACATGCCGACATATACCCCTGCCATCTTGCCGCCCTTCCTTGCCTTTCCTTGCGTGAGAACCCAGGTTTTGGTTGGACATCGAGCAAGATCCAACAGTCAGGGGCATGTGCTATGGAGTGTGCCACTCCAGAGGCTCGCCTTTCAACTTCTTCGCCTTCTAGGTTTGGGTAGGGCTCCCAACTTGAAGCCCAAGCATATGGAGGGAAGGCCGGGAGCAACTCCCTCCAGTTCGTCCGACAACCCCCTGCCATCCCCCGAACCTCTTTAGTCCTGGACTAGCACGCTGCCCAGGAAACGTGCTTGTCTTCCTCACAGAGGGGATCTCGGAGAGTAAGTTTTGTCAGATGGCGGCTACGGCTGAAGTTAGAGGGCACTTGGATGCTGGGGGCACCTTTTCAATGAACCTGAGACATGACCCTATATGACTAACATCACAAGTTTCCTGTCCCCTTTTGCCTACGAGCCGCGTAAAGCCACAAGTCCTGAAGCCCCTGTGCGCTCAGCCTTTTAGCCCCTGCCCTTGTTAAACCCTAAACCTTAAAGCCCGAAGCCCTAAACCCCTACACCCTAAAGCCGTAAGCCCAAAACCCAAAACCCAAAACCCTAACCCAGTTTCAAGGCCAAGCCTGAGGTCTCACCAGTCTCAGCGCGTGGTTTGTTTTTTGCGGGTTCGTAGCGGCATAGCAGCTCAAGCGACACCACGTCCGGACCGAGGAGATGAGATGGGCAATAGCTGCGAAACGGACTTTGGCCTGGGTGACACGCTAGTTTTCGGAAGTTCGTACTTGGGGGTGCAGTATTCTTCGCATTCGGCAGTGGCGGCTGCACATTGCGGTTCGGGTCTCTCAAGCTTCTGCCGGTCGAGCTCTGGGCGGCAGGAACATCATACTTGTGATGGAGACCGACGACCGCCACGGGAAACCGAACATGAAGGAGCAACTGTTGGCCACAAGGGCTGGGGTTTACACGTGCAGCCTTGGCGAAGAAGCACCTGACTTACAAGACAGCCGTGCAAGCTGCATCTGCTTTTCGAACTTATCTCCTCCTGTGCGCAGGAGCTCATCAACAAGTGCCCCGAGGACGTGCGGCACTTGCCCCATGGTCAAGCTTGGTCTGTGCTGTTTATTTAGGGGCCTCAGCTGTGGCCTCTGGGCGGGGTTGGGGGAGACTTCAAGGTGCAGGTGCAGGGCCTCTCTGTGTCAGAGTTTGGGGCTCAAGGCCTTTGGGCATGGGCTGGACAGCCTAGAGCTGTGCTGAGACCACCAGAAACTGCCGAGGGTGTGTCACCCAACCAGGGCAAAACCGGGGGTGGAAACATCGACTCCGCTGCAAAACTGGGGGCCTTTCCTAAATGGGTATCGAAACCTCTCCCAGGTTTGAGGAGATCCCGATCATTCCGTGGTTCCGAGATCCGGAGTTCCGGTCGGCGCCCGGCTTCCAAAAATTTCTTCTTGGGCTCTTGGGTTTTGCTTTCCGGGAGGGTCTGGGCCCTGACTGGGATCCCGAGCCCGGGGAGCCAAGGTTTCCGTGGATAAGATCGTTCGCAACATTGCAAAGGATCCAAGGACTGCAACTGAGAGACTGTCTGTGTCTCGGCTTGGCAGTTTTCGGGCCGCAGGAAGATGGATGCCGACAAGAAGAAGTCGAAGCCACTGGTCTACGGCAACGGGGACTCTGAGGACCCTGCGCGGCTTTTTCGTCGGGCTTCGACCCTGAAAGCTGTGACCGGACATGTAGTCGGAAAGCCTGCATCTTCGAAGCCGAGGAGCTTCGCACACCCGAGAAGAAACCGCAAGCGCGTTCAAACTCGTCCCCCGAGTCCTGCAGTGTGTGACAGAAGTCCGGACCAGTCGTCCCAGTCGAGGAGGGAGCAGAAGTCTTCGATCAAGCCTTCGTCAAGTTCACGGCCGCCTGTGGCGTTGCACTTCCAGGTGCCGGACGGCGTACGAAGTGTTGGGCGGTGGCTTGGAGGTCTTCAGCATTTTTTTTGGTCCTATGACGTATTGGGCTTGAGTTGGCCCAGCAGGCGCCTTGCAGGGTCGTCCAAGCCACGGTTGCTCTTGCGTTCGATAATATCAAGGCATTGTGCAAGAGTCGCGAAAGTCTGAGCACCCCCTGAGATGATGAGGTCGCAGTCCGCGTTATCCTCCTCACCTGTGGCATGATGTGCTGCAGCAGACTGGCAACCCCGGAGGGACCTGGTTTCCTGGACTACCTCACCATTGTTCAGAACTGTGTCCGAAAAGCTTCGGGGGTTCGGTGGAGTGGATTCGTGGACCCGGGCGAGTGTTCTTTGCGGCTTTTTTTCGCGTGGAGTCTGAATGGGCTTTGCTGACTTTTGTTCAGGAAAGCTTGTTCGCCATGAGCCGGGAACCCAAAAACTGGCTCAAACGCTTCAGTTCGGACGAGTTGTCTTCCGGATTATTCGTCTGTGGTATCACATCTGCGACTTGCGGAATGATTTTGAAGAGTTGTCCCTCAGCCTCAATCTCGCATCAAACCAGGATTGTAGCGGCCCATCCGATGATCTTCTTTTTGCTCCATGTGGTCCTGGTCATCTTGCAGTCGCCGCTAGTCGCCGACTTGCTGGAGAATCATATCGACGTTGCGAGCGAGGGCAAGAAGCTCCGTTTTAAAACGATACTTGGAGCGACTATGAGAAGCATCCGTTCTTTGTCTTCTAGGCTTCTGTTGCTTTGGTCTAGTTTTAGCCTTTTACTCAACCCTACACTGCCGTGACTGTTGTGGGTCGCTCAAAAGGATCCTGCTTTGCCTTTCGCTCTGGGAGGGTCGAGAAATCCCATGAGACCCAAAAAGGAATCGAAGCTGAGGGCAACCTGCATCTTCGGGTCTTATCGACAGAGGTCTCGCAGGTCTTAACCACACAGCTACCTTAAGCACATATGATCCAGAAGCCTTTGCTGACAATGCTGCAGTTTACGGAGACAAAGAGCGCAAAGTTCATACAGTGGGAGATATGCTTTTGGAACAGATGCCGGACCCACGTGATTCATTGAAAAACCTATGTCGTAGCAACAGCGCGTTGGGTGATGTCGATGAGTTTATCTGAAAATCGTTTGCTGGGAGAGCTGTTTTCGCTTTTCACGACAGGCAGGGACCATGAGATATGTGTCAATGCAGCACATGACAGGTGCCACATAGACACTGGGACATGTATTGCTACTTTCGAGGAAACGCGATGGGTAAGGTTTCAACAACTGGGACAGAGTCCTGTTTTGTGAGACTCGCGACGGATCGGGGATGGTCTGCAGAGAGTAGTACTGACAGGCGACTTTGTAACTTCATCAGACAACGGCAGGACAAGATTCACCTGTTGGGAACCTTATTTGCCTTTCGAGACATCCAAAGCGTAAGGCAAAGCTAGGCGGCAAGGGGCGCTGTTTGTTTCCCTCTGAAAAGACAAGTTGATGGGTACGTGGGGGCTTTTGGAGCTGGGGATACGGTTCTCTTGTATGAACAGGAGCACACGGAGAGTTTCGACAGAGCTGCGTGAGGAAGTTGGATAAAAAGCTTCTGAGATCTCTTCTACATGTCATGTCAATGTCACAACTGCTGTAGAAGGTCTCGTCCAAAAAGTGTGTAGTCGAGAAGTCTCCTGGATACAGGAAACGTGTATTTGTTTAGATACAGGAAGTTAGTTTGTACTATTGGGACATGGATTCACGAAACACCATGACAGGAGTTGTCACAAGAACAATTTCAAAATTAGCACTCCACGACAGGCCGACTTTACGTGTGAAGTCTGTATCCTGTTGGGGCCGGCGGTTACCGTACAGGCTTGTCAAGGAGTTGCATGCTCTAATTCCAAACACGTTCCTCAACAAGCGATCAAGTTTGAAGCCCCAAGCTGATCTGCCTCTCCTGCCGGCATATTCGGAATGTAGTGCCAACGCTCCTTCAGAGTTGATGGGAGCACCAAGCTAAAACGGCCGAACGGCGGTCTTTGTTCCTGGAATGCAGCTGCAGGAAGCTTCTGACTGCCCTCGTCTTTCTCTTGACTACTACATTATCCCTTTGGGGATGGGTCGGCTACCTCCCTGGTCGCCCGGAAGCACTTGGATCCCAGAGTCTTGGAGTGTGCGTGAACAAGGACTTCGACTGCTGCTTAGAAGGTCGAAAGGTCGGTCCTCAGTGCAGAACTTCAACAGCCGGTAGTTTGTTTATATCCCCAGCCCCGCACGGCAAATCTGAACAAGCAAGCCCAACGGCAACAGCCACGAGGACATGCCTTGCCTACCAAATTATTCCATGGCCCTGGCAAGACATGTGACGCGAGCGAAGGCTTCTTCTCGGCGTACTATCTGACCGCTGCGGAAGATGGAAATCCGGTGCCAGATGCACTGGCGCGGATCTTGAAAAGAGAGAGAGAGAGAGAGATAGACCTCTCGGTGCGCCTGGAGCGCGGGGGGTGGGGCCTGCCCACTCCTCATCCCCGGAGCAAAGCAAAGCA